TTTTATTTAAAGCTATTTTTTATTTAAGTATTTTTTGTTACAGCAATAATGGTGAAGACAAAGTGAGTGATTGCCTTTGGTAAACTGGTTGTTTTGACTTCCTGCAGTTTCTCTTAATTTTTTATATTTGCCTTTCCCTATTTCAGTAGAGCATTACCCAATTATTTTCTTTAGGGTGAACTGGTGCAGTCTTTTCTGAGGTCTGTTATTCATATGAGTATATACTGGCCCCTCACCCATAACCCCCCTCCAAATGATCCATTGGTTGACTTAAGATAGGAATAGGTCCTGTACATGGGGAATGTTGTATTCCAGTAACAGGAGATGTTGGTCAACATCTGGCGGTAAACATTGCTGGAGCCTAAATCTTTTAAATGTATTTATTACAGGTTCTTGTATAGCACTGTCAATTAACACAGCTCTTTACATATATATTGTACATTCACATCAATCCCTGTCTCTCAAGGGGCGTACAATCTAAGGTCCCTAACTCACATTCATACATACACATACTAGGACCAATTTAGAAAGAAGCCAATTAACTTACCAGCATTTTTGTGGAGCATTGGAGGAAAACAGGGTACCCAGAGGAAACCTGCACAGGGAGAACTTGCAAACTCCAGGCAGGTGGTGTCGAGGTTGGGATTCAAACTGATGACCCTAGTGCTGCCAGGCGGAAGAGCAATTTGGCATTGCATCAAAACCCAGTTTGGAGCCAAGCTTTTCAGTGATCATCTTATTTTGTTGTATTAGTTTTTTTCCATGCTTTCATGATGGCTTTGTTGCAATTAGAATATATGTATTAAGTTTCGATTACACTAAAAATTGGTATTGAGAAACTGCATCAGTCGTGTGTTGTGTGTAGGGTATTTTTCTTTTTTTTTTATTAGGAGTGCTTTACAAGGTTTCCTTCTTAGAGTCGGTTCTAAATCAGTGTATGTATTTTGCTAGGTGGCTTTTTACTATACTGCTTGTCCACTAGGTATGTGAAAATATTCTATATTCCCTATGGCCGTTAGTAATGGTCTCCGAAATGTGGGCTGCTTGCCTCTGTCTGGCACTGATACCAACAGTGGGGTAGAATTCCTCCCACTGATATAAACAATGCAACCTTATTCCTTCCACTGACGCTAATAATGGGGCACTATTCCTCCCACTGATAATAATGATGGAGCACTAGTCTTCCCAGTGATATTTTTGTTGGGACACTATTCCTTCCACTGATATAAATAATAGAATATTATACCTCCCACAGATCCCAATGATGGGGCACTATTCTTTCCACTGACATAAGTGATGAGACATTTTTTTTCCTCCAACCAGTACCAATGATGGAGTATTATTCTCCTCACCAATCCCAAAACAATGGGACATATTTCATCCCACTGACACCAATGTTAAGACACAATTTCTCCTTCTACTAGCCACAGGTGTTTTGTAATTTTTTTTTTTTTTTTTTTAACTCCCACTCACCACCATACCTGAGACATTATCTACTCCAAATGACCACATTCCAGTCCCCCTAAAGTATAAGGGGCTAGTAAAATGGCCCTTTGTTTAGAAAGTTTAGAAACCCCTGGCCTATAGGGGCAAGAGGTTAAAGTTAAGGACTTGAGAAGGTACCATGTACCAACTTAAAAGTAATTTATAATTTGTTTTGTGATTTGGCAAATAAAATCCTTCTCAGACTTGAGTCCTCTCTGTGTACGAACTTGAGTTTAAGGCTCCACGAACACCGGCTTGAATAAAAATGCCAGTGCTCTTGGCAGAAAAAGAATTCTGAGCGTTTTTTTTTGTACTAGTGTTTTTTTAGGAACATTTTTAGCGGTTTTTCTGGCAGAAAAAAAAAAAACGCTCTCAAAATTGAAGGGGTTTTTTTTTCTGCCTCCAAATGCTGAGCTTAAAAAACACCTCTAGAGTACCTAATGTGCAAGGATACTTTTTTTTTTTTTTTTTTTTTTTTTTCTTTTTTAAGTCCGCGGAGGTGCGAAAAACTAAAACTCATGTGTACAAAAAATGTGCAAGTGCAACACACAAACACAAAAAAGTTCACTTAAGGGTGTGCTTTTGACCACCCCCCGAAGGGGTAGGACCTCTACCCTGATCCCCGGGGCACAAGGCTCCTGACAGGGACAAAGGTTTCCAACATGGTCCACCTAACCAAAATACCTGGTGGACCCCTTTCCTTGTGGCTAGCCGAAGCCAACCAAGTACTAGGTCAGGGAGCTCTCCTGAAGAGTGTCCCACTCTAATCAGCTAATTAAGCCATAACACCTGCAAAGGGTTCCTGAGCCTTTAAATGGTCTCTTAGTCTGGTTCAGTAGGAATCACAATCATGGGAAAGACTGCTGAGCTGACAGTTGTGCAGAAAACCATCATTGACACCCTCCATAAGGAGGGAAAGCCTCAAAAGTTAGTTGCAAAAGAAGTTGGATGTTCCCAAAGTGCTGTATCAAAGCACATTAATAGAAAGTTATGTGTGAAGGGAAAAGTGTGGAAGAAAAAGGTGCACAAGCAGCAGGGATGACCACAGCCTGGAGAGGATTGTCAGGAAAAGGCCATTCAAAAGTGTTGGGGACTTTCACAAGGAGTGGACTGAGGCTGGAGTCAGTGCATCAAGAGCCACCACACACAGACGGATCCTGTACATGGGCTTCAAATGTCGTATTCCTCTTGTCAAGCCGCTCCTGAACAACAAACAATGTCAGAAGCGTCTTACCTGGGCTAAAGAAAAACAGACCTGGTCTGTTGCTCAGTGGTCCAAAGTCCTCTTTTCTGATGAGAGAAACTTTTGCATCTCATTTGGAAACCAAGGACCCAAAGTATGGAGGAAGAATGGAGAGGCACACACTGCAAGATGCTTGAAGTCCAGTGTGAAGTTTCCACAGTCTGTGTTGATTTGGGGAGCCATGTCATCTGCTGGTGTTGGTCCACTGTGCTTCATTAAGTCCAGGGTCAACGCAGCTGTCTACCAGGATATTTTGGAGCACTTCACGCTTCCTTCCGCAGACGAGCTTTATGGGGATGCTGACTTCATTTTCCAGCAGGACTTGGCACCTGCCCACACTGCCAAAAGCACCAAAACCTGGTTCAGTGACCGTGGGATTACTGTGCTTGATTGTCCAGCAAACTCCCCTGACCTGAACCCCATAGAGAATCTATGGGGCATTGCCAAGAGAAAGATGAGAGACATGAGACCGAACAATGCAGAAGAGCTGAAGGCCGCTTATACTTTTCAGAGGTCCAATATTGTTCTATGTACAATCCTTGTTGATTGCATGTAATATTTGAATTTTCTGAGATTGTGGATTTGGGGTTTTCATGAGCTGTGAGCCATAATCATCACAATTATGACAAATCACGACTTGAACTATCTTGCTTTGCATGTAATGAGTCTATCTCATATATTAGTTTCACCTTTTAAGTTGCATTACTGAAATAAATTAACTTTTGCACGATATTCTAATTTTTCGAGTTTCACCTGTACTACACTTGATCTAGGGCAAAAGGCATGGACACATAGAATAACATTTAGTTGCTTCTACAGGCAAGACACTAAACTCTTCTAGGAGTGGAATTTTTTTAAGCAAGTGTGCATGGAGCCTTTGTTTCACTTCATTTTTTGGGTTTATTTATAATTTCAGATGCTTTTAGGGCGACACATTCAGTCTAGATAGTATTGCTTTCTGAAAGATTACATTAAGAGGCGGAATTTCCTTCCACTCCCAGATAAATGACACTTCCTAATCCATTTCCTGTTAAAATGTGCTGAGATGCTTCTGTGTTTCTTCAAGTGAATGCAGTACTTACAAACTTTATGTAGATGTGTTAGGAGTGACAGGGTAAGGTAACTATGCCACATTAAATACAAACAACAATTCATCCCAACAAAAACAAACATGAATACTCACCTAGGTGGCTGTAGTATCAATCTGATGCTGCATCTGTCCCCCGCCAGCTCTGCATTGAGAACTGAGCAATCAAACATCGCTGATCACTCAGTTCTCCCCTCTGTTCTGAGTAGAGAGCCATGACTGTCAGTTCCCGTCTCTCTGCTCTCCCCTTCCAATGCTCACTGGAGTGCCAGGCTGGGGAGGGGAGGGAGTGACTGGCTCATTCTCCCAGTGGCATAGCTGAGAGACTGAGCCAGATGCTGGTCCAGGGTTCTGGGTGAATCCCAGCCATATCGTTGGGATCTTTCCCCAGCCTGGACCAGCTGAGTGACATCAACTGATAACGAACTTTAGCACACTGACTGACGGCTGAAACCAGGTCACAGGAGTGCAGAAGGAACTGCATAGGAGAAGTACAGCCAAATACCTTTGGCTATACTTCTCATTTTTAAGTCATAGAATGGCTGGATGAATCAATTTTAGCCATCTCAAACAAGTTTTTGCTTCTGTTAATAGTTCCTTTTGAATTGTTCGAAATGAGTGTGTGGGTTTTTTTTTTTTTCTTTTGTGACATTCTTTTTTTTTTTTTTTTTGTTTTGTTTTGTTATTTTGTCTCTGGGTGTTGTTATAATGCCGTGAGTGAATGTAGAGCACATTTTTGACTGGCAATGGCTGTACACTGCTCCCAGCAGAGACAATTCAGCCATATTGTATCCTATGGGGGCCTTTTGCAGCCAACTTTATGAAGCCTAAGAGGAGATATTCTAACATCTCACAAAATGCTAATGGTAATTCTCTTATTTTTCTCCTTGCATGATCTGTTAAATGGTCACAGTTGGGCAGAACGGGAGACTTGGGGATATCTTACCACTGGACTTCCTGAGAAATCTAAGACTTCTTCAAGATCTACCTTCTTCTTGCAGCCTCTCCGAGCTCAAGTATTTTGTTTCTGGAAAAAAGCTTTAAAGTTCAAGTGCTTTACATGTTTATATTAAAAGTAAAAAGCGCTTTTAAATTAACTCATGTATTTTATTTAACCGCCTCCCGCCCACCATATAAGGAAATGACGGGCACAAGGTGGTTGTCTCTTTCTGGGAGGATGTCATATGACAACCTTCCACTGTAACCGCGTGTGCATGGCTCCCGGAGCGAGCAGCGCGGCGATCGGTGGTGCGCTGTGTCCCTCGGACACAGCGGATCACCGATCAACGGAAAGAGCTGAAGAGGTCAGCTCGGTCATGTGATCAGCTGTGTCCAATCACAGCTGATCACATGTAAATAGGGAAATGTCGGTTATCGGCATTTTTCTCCTCACGAGCTGTCATGCTGACCGCTCGTGAGGAGAGCTGGTAATCGGCATTCTTCAGAGGGGACATCTACACTGATCATCAGGGCACTGATGATCAGTGTGCCCTGATGATCAGTGTAGCCCCAGCAGTGCCACCTCTCAGTGTCCATCAGTGCCAGCTGTCAGTGCTCATCAGTGCCACCTGCCATGCCTCATCAATACCATATATCGGTTCCTACCAGTGCACATCAATGCCACATATCAGTGCCCAGCTGAGCTGCCTTTCAGTGCCACCTATCAATGCTAGTTAGTGCCACCTATCAGTGCTGCCTGTCAGAGCCATATATGAGTGTTGTCTTTCAGTGCCCATCAATGATGCCTGTCAATGCTCATCAGTGCCACCTACCAGTGCCTCCTTATCAGTGCAACCTATCAGTGTCCATCAGTGCAGCCTATCAGTGCCCATCACTGCAGCCTCATAACACACATCAGTGAAGGAGAAAAATCACTTATTTACAAAATGTTTTAAGAAAACTAAGAAAAACGTTTTTTTTCAAAATTTTCAGTGGTTTTTGGTTTAAGAAAAAATAAAAAACCCAGAGGTTATTAAATACCACCAAAGTAAAGCTCTATTTGTCACAAAAAAATGATAAAAATTTCATATGGGTACAGTGTTGCATGACCACGCAATTGTCATTCAAATTGAGACAGCGCTGGAAACTGGCCTGGCAGGAAGAGGGTATAAATGCCCTGTAGGCTTGTGGATAAATAGAACCAGCCATGGCTGAGCTTATGCAGAAAAATATTGAAGTGGTTGTAGAACTGTTTTTTTTCTGATAATAAACATGTAATACTTACATGCTTTGTGCAGGAGATGGCTATACCTTGCTGAGGAAGTGCTTTTTCCACAAAACGCATCCAAGGGGCTATAACGCCATGACGTCTAGCCACCGATTCCTGTTATAGGTCCGTTGGCCCCCCTTTACATTAATGTACGGTCAGTGTACATGTTTTTATCAATTTTTGTTTTATCACTTTATTGCACCCACATGGATTAATAAATTATTTTATCTAAATTACTACACTATGGGCTATTATTTTTGTTGACTCTGTTGCGAGCCAACATTTCATCCCCGAGCCCATACTCCATGGCATAGGAAGCATTTCCATACTGCTGACATCAACCTACTACTACTAGAGGAATACATCAGGTCCAGTACGATTCAGCTAAGCTGTGTATCTGAGAGGTTTCCACGGTGGTATTCGGGGCTATCCCAGGAGTGACGTCCACTAACCAGACCAATACCAAGAGGGGGAGAGTCTGTTATAAGCGGTGCAGCTCATCCATCGCATCCCATGAGGGGGACCTCTGGTTATTGATTATATGCGTACATAAAGATACGCATCTGGTGAGTGCGTATTTTAACTATTCTATCACCTCGCCACCTGGATCATACAGTCACCATTATCTGCTGTATCCATCACTTATCACAGACTGTCACCCATTTTACACATTGGCTTCACTGGGATTATTCATTCAGTTTATCCTATGGATTGAAATCATTCATTTATTTTGTTTTATCTTTAGCATTGCACTTTCTTTTACAGTACCTCCTTATCAGTGCCCATCAGTGCAGCCTCATTAGCGCACATCAGTGAAGTAGAAAAATCACTTATTTACAAAATTTTATAACAAAAACTAAGAAAACTTTTTTTTTTTTTCAAAATTGTCAGCTGTTTCTGGTTTGTGTAGCAAAAAAGAAAAAAAAAAACCAGAGGCGATTAAATACCACCAAAAGAAAGCTCTATCTATCTCAAAAAAATTATAATTATTTCATATGTGTACAGTGTTGCATGACCGCGCAATTGTCATTCACAGCGCTGAAAGCTGAAAATTGGCCTGGACAGGAAGGGGATATAAGTGCCATGTAGGCAAGTGGTTAAAATAATGGACAATGACCTACAGTGAATCCTTATTATACAAAAAAAGTTAAAGAGGGACAGTAATACTTTTTAGGGAGAAGCTGATGGGGTTCCCTGCAGTGCTGATCATATGATCTGATAAAAGGACAATTGTTTTATGATTTGTGAGCCACCAATCAGATGCTCTATTTGGAATGTGAAGATGATAATTCACTTAATGGACTGATTTTGTACTAAGTGGTATTATTATCATCATAAAAAAGTTTGTTTATTAATGAACTTCAGTTTTGTATTGTAGTTCTCAGCAAAATACAGTAACCTATAGCAACTGGTCAGGTCTTGACTTACTGAGGATGGGCTGATACAGTCGATATTAATTGGGTTTGGTTGCTTGTGTGTGTGTGTGTGTGTGTGTGTGTGTGTGTGTGTGTGTTGTGTGTGACGTGTACATCTTCCTTTTTTTTTTTTTTTTTTTTTTTAATCCTTTTGGTGTGTCATTCTCCTCCTTTTTTGCTTCCAACAGGCTCAGCCTGGGTGCAAGCTCATTCCTGTGTCATAATTTTTGGTATTTACTGTGGTAGATATAATGCAGCATATCTAAATGACAGATGCAAACAAATGTTGATAACCCTGGGGCATGGAGTTGTGATTTTACAGTGTAATTTGTGTACAGATGATTAACAGTTCCTGTTGGAATGTAACTGCCGCTAATGTTCATTTGGAAAAATATTTGGCACTCCTGTAACGGTGTAGAAAATGACGTGCTTAGTGACAGCATTACTGCCAATGATTATAAATGAACGCTCATTCTTACATGTACTGTACACAGCATTATCAATATATGATTGTAAAGCTAATAATAGTCTATGAATAAAATATTTTTTAAATTCCTATTTCAGGGTTAATTAGTAAGTGATCCCAGTAGTGCTTCTAAACTTAAATACATGTGAGCTTATTTGTCATTCTGCTTGTCTGAAGAGCTTGCATATAGATCCATAGGTGACTGTAATTGGTCTGCAGAATTTGCAGGATAGATGGCTGTGCAGTTATCATTTATTTACCACAATTACTAATTTAAAGCTTTTTAATTAAAAGCCCAACTGAGCTCTCAGTTTAAATTGACTTAACATATTCCAGGCAAGTCAAAACATAAGATGTTCAAAGTCATACAGTTTTTAAAGAAAAAAAAGCAAAGTTGTCCCCTGCAGATAAGGACACTTGCTTTCTGTGTGGAAGCAGGGGGTCTCTCTGCAGAGTTCCAACAAGCCCCTTTCCTAGTCAGATCTAAACCTCTGCAATTGGGAAAGTTCATGTACGTTTTTGTTCCCTGGTCATTTTAAATCTATAGTTGTAACTCAGCAGGGGCCTCTTTTTGACCTCTGCAGATATACAGCTGCTTCCACACGGAGAACAAGGGTCCCTCTCTGCAGCAAGCCCTGAGGCTTTTTAATGAAACTTTGCATATTTTTAGTAGTAATGCACCTAGAATGTATTTTAGCTGATTTAAACTGGAAGTTCAGTGAGGAATTCATCATTGACATGTGGGTATTTCCTGGTCCAGAGTTGGCCAGGTCAGAATATCATTGCGTGTTTATGATTGCCCTAAATGTTTCCCAGAGCACATTTCATAAAATCACAGCCCCACTGCAGGGGAAAATAAAAGTTTTGACCTGAGTTACTGCTTTAATCTGGGGGAGTGGGAGTATTAGCTGTACTAGTAGATTTAGATACACTAACAAATTGAAGCCAAACTCCAGCTTACATTTTATAAGCAGATACAGCAACAGCTTTTTTTTTTTCTATTACTTTTGGGTTTTTATATAAATAAAAGCTGATCCTTGAAAGTACCCCTGTCAGTGGTAAATGGTTTATCCCAAGCCTTTAACTGGTATGACTGCAGGAGAGCTTGTTCTGTTGAGAAAACCAGACTTACTGGCAAGATTACCAGTAAAATAAAAGAGCTTTGTGACGATCGCGGCGTCAGACCCCAGCCCTTCTCACCAAACTCGTGACCGAAGGATTAGCCATCTAAAAACCACGCTGTCACGTGCGTAACAATGCCTTGCCCAGCTGCACTCTGCACAAAGATTTTCCAGCTAATGGACCACAATCTATGTATCTGCAGCCTGGGAGCGATTGTAACTGGGTCAGGTTAATTACGCAATTAACCATTCACACTGCCACCACCTGTGTGTATATATATATATATCTACACACACACACAGAAAACAATAGCACAGCACAGCAAAGAGATAACAGAAAGAAGTTTGGAGGGATAAAGTACTTGCCGTCAGCCTTGGTTTAAGCAGATCAGGTTTCAAAAGCCAAAAGGATGCCTTATCTCCCAAAGTTCGTTCCGATGTTTAAAAGGGAGAATCTTCAACTCCCTTAACTCCTCAGCTTAGCTTAGCTTTTTCTAGGAACTCAACTCATTTGGGCGGGTGTTGCAGATTAATATACAGAATCACCTGCTGAACGTCTAGGTATGAAATATGACATACGTGCTGGGATGGTTTAAGGAGATATCTTTTTCTGCTCTCCTGTTGATGCCAGCTAGGGGATGTAAATATATCAGACGGCTTGTATTAACGAGACCGATCTGAATATATGCCCAGTTTTTATGTACGTCTCTCATAGTCCAAGATATGTAATCGTAGGGGAAAAGTGGATTTTTAAATGCAAGTCTGGTTTACGACTACCTGGAATGTCTTTGAAACTCAGTGAGGGCTTGGTTTATGGCTTTACGATCCCTTTTCCAGCAGGAGTCTCGCAGACATAGGGGCACCAGTTAGTGGGTTTTATAGCCATGGCACCCTCCCAATGAGTTTGCTGCCTGTGATCTCTGTCATCATCCAGACCACATGTCACTCAACAGAGAGGGAGGGGGAATATCGGAGGAAATCTGATTTGGGGAGAGAGAGATACAAGATGGAGGGTTTGGAGCAAAATGGATGACTGCGTCCATCTCTGTGTGCATGATTGCTACAAAGCCTAAAAAAGAAAAATAATGCAGCCATCACATCTATAAATTGGTAAGCTGTAAAATAATAAATGTTTGCTGTTGGGTTTAATAAATGATTTAACCACTTTTCCTGACTGTGGTATAGCTAAAAGACAAAATAAAGCAAGGTGCAGCGCTAAAATGTTATGTTAGGACATATAGACATGTAATATTCAAAACATCTTCATATAAAAAAATACAATAAAAATAACATAAAACGATATCAAGGTGCAAATAAAAACGTCACCTAATGGTGACTATAGGTGATTGGGCACTAGACCAAATACAGTCTATAGCGTGAGTAGAAAAGATCCCCAAATGATCTTCAAAAATCCAATGGCTGGATCCGTGGATGAGGTGATGGATGTATAAAGATTG